TGCTGATTACAGCCCAGCTCTGTTTTTCCGTCTTGTTAGTAATCAGGCTATTCGCTGCTGGTTTCCTGTTTTAACAGGGCCCAACTGAAAAGGCTTCTGGCCAGGCTCCATGACCGGACCATTGGCTTACTGTTATTTACACCCAGAATAAAGGCTTGTGGACACGACGAGTAGCCCCGGCTGACCTACTAATTTGCTTCCTCTTAAAGAGCAGGCTACTACCAGGCTATTTTACACCTTCTCCTAAACGTGCTTTAATCTAGACTGCAGAAAAACTGCTTTTACAGGGCTAAATTAAAGCAGCACCAGCTCATTTGCAGAGAGGTCTGAGAAACAATACAAAATCCCAGTTCTCCACTCCCTCCATCGCCACTTAGATGAGCGGTCCCCACTACTAACGACCGAGGAACTACATGACCAGCACCCCTTCTTTATAAATCACTTTATCCTCCTGGCTTCCCAGCTGAAGTCATACGCATGACTGAATGCACGGTTGCATCGTATCGCAGCCCAAAGACTTTACAGGCCCTCCCGTAATCAGCTCAGGGAAGATTACACCTAGGATCTCCAGTCTAGGCTCAACACCCAACCCTTAACAGCTTGAAACAACTTGAGTACAAGCACGGTGATGACTAAAGTCGATTTCAAAATAAAGTACTGCTACTTAAGAAGGCATGCTGAAACGCTTTGAGGGGGAGGACGAAGTGTTTAGAGAGAGGCTGAGACAAATGAAATGGAAGTTAAGCAAATCAAAAAAAAAAAATTTAGGCTGAGTATCAAAAACTGAAATAAAAACAATTATCCCACTGCGTTGAGGAAAAGCTTCACCAAGGAAGTGGCAGAAGCTGATTGTTATTCAAAGCAGGACAAAGTATACCACAGGGAACAATCTCTGCCCTCCAGAGAGGGGATGGACTAAAATCACCTTACGGAAAACCTCCCACCCCACCCCCTTAGGGTTCTCTGGATTTCTTAAGCTGGACTTTTTTCTTTTTGGTTTTTTTATTTTTTTAAAGAGCACAGATAAACAGAACCAGTTCCTATCCAAGGCCCCGATCCTGTGGTAACCAAGTTCAGTAGGATTCCTCACATGTCTAAACTTGAGTACATGCCTGTGTCTTTGCAAGATTGTATTCTAAATCAGCTCATTAACGAGCTGGATACATTCAGTGCGATTGCTATCACGTTATTATTTGTAAATGAAACTATCCATAGAGGACTCCTTGGGGTTTTAATCCACAGCCTGTTAGCTAAAAAAACCCAAACAACAAAACAAAACAACATCCAACCAACAAAAAAAAAACAACCAACAAAAAAAAAAATCCAACACACGAACAAAAAAAAGTTTACAACATGAATTTAAAAACCACCAACAAAAAGTAATTAGTTTAAAATTATTCATAAGTCACCAAGAACCATAAGGATGCAGAAGGGAATTTCCACAGTAAAAAAACCACCAAAACTTTTTCCTCTGAATAGGTTTCAGAATTGAGGAACCAGCTTACTTGTTTTCCTCTGCATTTCACAGCTTGCACTCCATTGCTTCTAAAGCAGCCAGACTTGGCTACGCTATGTATTTTTTTTTCTTTTAAGAGGATTTTTCTAGGAGCGCAAGCAAGAAACATGTAACAAAGTCACTCTTTGAAACTTCTTGAATGAGCCTCAAATGCCAGGAGGTCACAAATAACTACAAGCCCAACCTTTAATAAAACAAAGGCACCCTAGCCCTAACATCTTTTAAAAAGTTTCCGTCTTTGTCTCCTCACCTTTTAATTTCTGCCACGCAAACCCCAGGCCCATGGCCCCTCTCAAAAGTTCTCCCTCCCGCCTGTCACCTTTCATTGTTTCCATTGTTTCAGCCCAGGACTTGCAATCCTCAAAGCAGAAGATCTTTCCCCTCTCTTCTCTCATACAC